ATATATATATATATATATATATATATATATATATATATAGTCAGGGCTGTAAACCACCTTAGAAAATGATGAAGAAGAAAAAAACAGAAGGTCAGTTAATATATTTTCAGTTATTTATTCTTAGGCTTTTACATATGGCCCCCCTATTCTTGAATATTCAGTTACATCATTTAGTAATAAAAATAACCAAAAGCTTTTAATTACCATTATTTATATTAACATAATTAACATTAATGTAGTTAATTTAGTTAATTATATACATAGTAAAATGATCACTGTAAAGTGAACTCAAACTGTAATAGCCTTTCAATAATTAACTAACATATTATGAAGGCAATTATTATTACTTTTTTAATACAACAGACAACTCAAATTTAAGAGCAAATGTTTTCTCTTTTGCTTTAAAGTAGGCCGATCGCTTGTAGTGGGTTTCTCTCAGTAGAGTGCGGGAAGTGAGATGGAAAACCTGGAATGGATAACGTGGAGTCCATGTATTGCAGAACTCTATGAGCAGCCAGGGACGGGGAATCGCTGAGTCTGTTCCACTCAAACGTGACTCCACACCGGCTTTTAGTCTTTACGACACACTCATCTGGACGGTTTGACTTATTTGAAACTTTTTTGCGGTGAAGACAAAATATACAGACTGGCTAATTATTATCTGAAATAAAAATTACTCGATATCAATTACTTGTTTATGGACTTAATTGCAACAATACTCTCGCTCATGTGATATTGCTTAAACATCCATTTTTCCACACGACTTTTCAAATGTGGAGACAAAACATACATACTGGTGAATTACTGTCTGAAATGTAAATGACTCGACACCAATTACTTGTTTATATCCTTAAGTACGACAGCACTCTTGCTCATGTGGTATTGCTTAATTAAACCGCCATTCTTCTTCCACGCAGATTACGCACGAGAGACGCCACCGCCTCTGCTCCGGTGTGTGCACAGCGTTGCTCTCATCCCAGTGGCCCCCAGGAGCCCGACACGATCTGTGATGAAACCAGTGTAACACAACCAGCTGTTCATATGTCATCTCGAATTTAGCCGACATCTGACATGTATGCTCATGTATCATCTCTTACTCAGGCACATCTGGTCACTTCGCTGTGCATCCGAGCAGCAGGGTGAAGGACAGCCGCTGCGCTCCCTCCGCCCTCAATCACCCTCCGCTATTGGCCAGCGCGCACCGGCTTCATTATTCCAGTCTCACGGATGCGCGAGACACGCACTCAGCGCGCGGATGAGAGAGATTCACGCAGAACTTCGGGTTTATCGCTACGGGAGGGACCTGTTACTGAAGCCACGGGAACGCGCGGCACATGCGAGCGGCTCCCCGGTTTAGTTGGGGACGCAGGAGAGAAGCGCAGAGATGATGGGACGCTTTGGGAAGAAGGGACGATACTCCTGCTTTGGCTTCCTCGCGGTCCTGGTTCTCCTGCTGCCCTATGCGATGGCAAGAGGTAAGAGAGCTTAACTGTTTACGAAAACCTAACGATATACTTTTCCCCACATTTTGCTGTCTTGGAGAGTTCGTGGACTCTGAATCTTCGCTGTATGAATGAATACATATGCACTGAGCGATGCTCAAAAATGATAGTATTTTAGTTTTTTTTCAATGCAAGGCACGACTGTTCCAGTATCAATAAGACTTTGCAATGAAACATGTATAGTAGACGGTAATTCGCGTAAAACTACCTACTCGCATGTAAAAGTAATGAGCTTCAATCCCATCATGTGCCAAACGCTTGAATAGGCAGAAGCGACTGTAAATAGAAGCGAGTGCCATTGCACAAAAACATTTGCGCGCTACGCATTTTGTAAGTGTCTGCAAAAACATGAAATTCTATTAACAGTCTCCACTGGAAACCTTGTCATCAATTCAGTTTGCATGAAGCTCGTGTTGTTTACTGGAGTGAGAATGTCAAGCGTGCGTGCCATGAGATGCGCAGCGCAACAGGCATGAAAGGCGCCTTTCCATCATATTCTGCACACTTGTTCTTCAGCCGTCGTGTTCTTGATTGAAAATCGCGTAACACTTTAATTTACGGTGTACACGTTTAAAAAAAAATATATATATATTATTGCTTAAATTACAAGCAGTTTCATAAAGTACTTGTGAATTAAGTGCGTTCTTAAGTACTAAATGTACTTTTACTGTGAAATATTATAGTTTTGAGTCTCCACTGGAAACCTTGTCATCAATTCAGTTTGCATGAAGCTCGTGTTGTTTACTGGAGTGAGAATGTCAAGCGTGCGTGCCATGAGAGGCGCAGCGCAACAGGCATGAAAGGCGCCTTTCCATCATATTCTGCACACTTGTTCTTCAGCCGTCGTGTTCTTGATTGAAAATCGCGTAACACTTTAATTTACGGTGTACACGTTTAAAAAAAATATATATATATTATTGCTTAAATTACAAGCAGTTTCATAAAGTACTTGTGAATTAAGTGCGTTCTTAAGTACGCTGTAGTTTAAATGTACTTTTACTGTGAAATATTATAGTTTTGGAAGTAAAAGGTCACTTTACGCTTTAAGCATTATATTTTATTGCAATAGTATTTATTTATTTAGTTAGTTTTTCGTGATCGGTTATCAAGGGCGTTTTGTTAAATTTTATGTCGTTTAGTTCATTGTTATTGCATTATTTTAGTGTCATGTGTTGCTTTAGTGGTATTTTGTCTGAGTAACATGGTGTGTTTCATGGAAGTTTTACTCATCATGTTACTTATTTCAGCTCTTGTATTTTTCTTTATTAACATTATGGTTGAGAGTACATTTTAAGTTACAAAGCAGATTTGAGTTGTTGAAGTAGGTTGGTATACTAGCACTAAATACACACACACACACACACACACACATACATACATTTACAGTTACAGACTGTAAAATATATAATAAAAGTGAGATTCTGGCAACAGCTGCCAGTTTTTTCTTTGCTTTATATTTAACATGATTGTTTTTACATTGCAAGAACATTGTAGTGGAAAGTGTGACTGAAAATCAACTGTTGGTGTCCTATCCATAGATTTCCTTTTTAAATGATAAATGCTGCTCGGTACTTTTATCAAAGATGAATGTTGCATGTGTTCTGAAGCGAAAGCAAAAGCAAGGCAGCAATTATCTTATGTTAAGAGTCATTGATGCTTAGTACAGGGCACAGAGACTCTGAATACAATAACTATCATTAAGATGTTCAACCGAGATAGATTAATTGGATGTTTATAAACAAGTGTCCAATTAGCATTTTGTTAATTGCCAGTGTTTATTTGCCCTTCCGTCAATCATATTCCTACCACGTGTGGTGTCTGCAATTTAAAGCAAAGTATTTAAAAAGAAACCTGATGCTGTGGAGTGGGCAATTTAAGGTTGATGGTCGTGTTATCAGTCAGGAGTGCTGTTATTACCTGAGGCACCCTTAAGGGCCACTTTTTAGATCCGTTTTGTGTATCTGTTCATAGAGGCTGGCTAAGAGATAGTCTTAGCTGTTTTCTCTCTGGGTTTATTTCTATTAAATGGTGATTCTGTAGCTCATGTGTGATAAGATAAGGGGCATTTAAAGTGTTAAATCCTAAGTTAAGTCTTCAGTTATGAATCTGCATCAAATATTAATTGACTGACACAGAATGCTCTTTCTCACTGTGTGTGTTAAAAAGTCCTCTGATATTGCTGCGTAACATCTGACCTCCTGATTCTATCGTCCCTTATGATAAACTATTTGCAAGTCTATTAGCAAATTAACCCTCAGGATTTGATCCTCCTTCTTTCCTTAAGCTATGGAAATCAGCTCAAACTGGCCTAACATTCATAATTAATGAACTCTCCTCACCAGCATTGAGAGGGTATTGCATAAGATATATCTATTCCTCTCTGAGATATCGCTTTGTTGGTTCATTGGGAGATTTCATTAATATGCAAAGGAAACCATGTCATTAAAATATCCAATCATCTGTCATGTTCACTTACACCGCCCCAAGCGCTGACATCATCTATTGTTTCACATCCACACTCCGAAATGCTCTGCACCTGTCAGAAAGAAGCTGTTATTGAAAACCATAAACAAACCCAAACTATTACAGTGTTTGCCACATTGCCTGTGGTCAGAGCGTTAAATGACATTTTCCTTTAATGTGTTGTAGGTTTTTTTTTTCATAAAGTTGATGTGAGACACAGAACGGAAATGTAGCACTGGGCAGCAGTAGATGGAGATGTAACTGTGCCCGATTCAGTGATGGAGGTGCACATGATAATGAGTTTGAGTAGCTTTTGAAGTCTCCAGAGAGGTTCTCTGATGGCATGAGTTATGAATAAAGGTAGCACCTTCCATCGGAACATAAGCAATGTTTAATTTATCGCTCGGTATCATTAGACCAACTCTCACAGTATGCTTTTTGACATCTGCGCACATATGAAGGAGAATGGTGATGTGTATCTGCAACGCGATACTTTTTTTTTGTGCGTATGTGCATCAACCACACAACTCAATATGACATAAGTATTAGAGCCTGACCGATATATCGTTTAGCCGATATTATCGGCCGATATGAGCCTGTCGCCGATATATCGGTATCGGCGGAAATCCAGCCGATATGCCGCCGATATGAACATTTTACAGAACATATAACACAGATTAAATGCTTCTGAATGGTGTAATTACTTAGTTTGTCCAGCAGAGCGCGCTCCATTGTTTGCTACTGGCGACCCAGATCAGTGTAGTGTAGAGATGCACGGATGAGCTCAAACTTCACGAGTCGAGATGGTCGTCACTGCAGAACACAAGATCCAGGGGGCGTGGTTGAATTCAGATCCAAGTCCTCCCACCTTACACCTAAACCTACCCGTCTCCACCCCTGATCCCTAAACCCACCCATCTCCACCCCCTAGATGTGGATCCAACCACGCCCCCTGGATCTTGTGTTCTGCAGTGAGGGGCTACTGCCCGAGTCCGCTGCTTCAAATTATCCGCCCGCCAGCCACCCGCACCCATATTTGATCGTCACTTTACAATGATTCTAATTCTTAGTTTTGCATGATGATATGATGAATGGATAGTTCATTTTTAACAGGATGGCTCATTTTTAACAGCAGATTCAGTGACGTTAGAGACTAGAGCTGATCTGCGCATCACGGCACGCGTCTGTGGCGCATTAAAACCTGTGTTATGGTCACCGGAGCTGATCGCGGCCACTCAGTCAGTGCTGGTGTTTATACCGGCCGCGCTGCGGCCCAGAACTCATGCTTATCACATCGGTCACATCGCGCAGCGTGACAAAATACAATATAATTCTATTATATTTTGTCGCGCCACTCACGTCCGGTGTAGAATAGAACCCATTATAATCAGTTATGTTGTCTATACTGGATGCAGTAAACTGATGCCTTGTTCTATTTATGACGTGCTGACACAAAGTTCAAATGATTTTCAACGGCCGCTTCACATTTGAGTTATCATTGCAAAAAATGTGTTTATGTATATATATATTCTGTTTATGTAGGTTATATACTGTATTCTATATAAGGTACCAGTCAAAAGTTTGGACACACGAATGGGAAGTTTGTCCAAACTTTTGACTATACTGTACTATAATATAGCCTACACATAAAGAATATCGGCCGATATATCAGTATCTTTTTTTTTTTACTCCCTAATATCAGTATCGGCATCGGCCCCCAAAAAACCCATATCGGTCAGGCTCTAATAAGTATGTTCATCAATAGAATATTACTCACAGGATGTTTGTTAACACTGATGCATTGCAGTGTCCACAAGTATCTCGTACTGTAAGCACAAGGCATACATTTCCCAGAATGCATCAGTGATGTCCCTAGAGAAATGTTTGGAGCCTGTCCATGTTGTGAGAACTTGTCACGAGCCTGGATGGTGGAGAGTATTTATGTGAGTGGAGAGGACCAGGTTTGCTCATCCTCAGGGACCAGGAGCGGATCTGGATCAGAAGATGCTTGTTAGGATGATGGAGTGCTCTTGTCATTTGTCATAGCTTTAACATGGAACGCCAGCACTTTCCCAGTAGCTCGTGCTTTTCAGTAAAGGATAAGAAGCTTTTTTTGATCTGCATATGTGTGAACAGGTGTTTATGTGTAATTTCCCTCTGAGGTTTGTGATTTGCTGTATAACGTCTCTAGGTTACGTATGTAACCATGGTTCCCCGAAGGGAACGAGACGCTGCGTCGAACGCTTTGGGAACGCCCTCGGCGAGACACCGTACTGAAGCCTGTGTGAAATCAGTTCGACGCTCATCACATCAACCTCCTCGGAGGAAGATAGATGAAGCGTCTGGCCCTCTCTCGGGGGGGAAGAAACCGCGGGGCGGGCTTCCGAACCCTGAAAGGGGGCCGTGGATCTAGCGGGTGAGGACCGAGATAAGGACGAGCCCGTCTCGGATCCCTCCGCTAAATCCACTTGCGATCCCCACGATAACAGCCGCCGCTGTGCCTCAGCAAC